GTTTATTGTAGTATTTATGAGCGCATTTAACACTCCAGCTAATGTTTCCATCTTATATTCTACATTATTGTGAAATCTTATTTCATGCTTCTTTCCATCTATTTCAATCTCTATGAAATCTGTTTCATCTGTTATGACAAAAGTTGCGATAGTATTGAAGTCAACAACTCTGAAAGCAAGCGCTTCATTCTGAAGACCTAAGTTTGTTTGAAGCTTTACTGTCCCGTATTCGTTTGGGTCTGTACTTTGCAAATAGAACAACATTTTATTCTCATTAAAATATGACTATTGCTGCATATGCGTATGAAACAAATGAAGCAAGAAGAGCACATGAACTAGTAAACGAAAACTCAACTTTAACCATTGAAGGCAATGATTTAGTCATTGACGATGGAAAAACTAAAAAAGTCATTGATTTCGATACTTTTAACACTTATGACCCATTCATTACAACAAGCAAGGTTCCTATCATAAATGATGGAACGGTGCAATATATAAATTCTACAGTAGATGCCTCATTAGTGAAAGTATTAAATGTTCTCATTGAATTGTTAAAGAGCTTTCGATTTGACGACAACATTAAATGCCTAAAGAATTTAGTCATGAATGAGAAACAAATTCTTGGCGTTGCTGGTAGCAGTAATGATGTACACCTTATGACATTAGAATATTATAACGAACATAAAGATGAACTGAAAGGAGAGAAGGGTGACACCGGACCTCAAGGACCACAAGGAATACAAGGAATACAAGGAATACAAGGAATACAAGGAATACAAGGACCTCAAGGCGAAAACGGTTTGGATGGAAAGGATGGAAAGGATGGAAAAACTGCTAAATCATGGATATGGGACCTTATAAATACTGGTTTAACAGCTGCTTCATATGGAGTTCTTCAATACCAAATCGGAAAGATATGGGCAGTACTTGGTGAAGAAGCTTTAAATGACGTTAAAAATGCTTTGAACTTCATTTCAAATGGTTCGGATACTATTAAAACTTTATCTGGTTGGATGCAGAAACAAGGAGTCAAATAGATACTGTAAGACGTATAGCAAACAATGCACGTACGGGATTGGATACTTTACGACAAGCACAAAATACACTAAAGGAAGCAAATGATATTCTTGGCTCAGTATCAGACATGCATGAAGATTGGCTTAAAGGTATTGACAAATCTTTAAAAAATCACAGTCAGTCTATTGCTGACTACAAGAAAAGTATAGATTTTTTACATAGTGCTATGGACGTACATGATGGAAGCATAAGGAACTTACTTAATGCTAACAATAACTTACCAGGAACTATTAAAGCATTTATAAAGTCCTTTGTAAAACCCGGTGCTCTAACATTTAGGTCTTTGAGAGCAAGAGCATTGAAGTCAAGAGATGCAGAAACTCCAACAGAACCTACAGAAGGAACTGAAACAACAGAAACTCCAAAAGAACCACCAAAACCAACAGCTAATGAAATATTGTTCGAATATTTTCCAAGGTACTCTGTTCTCATTGCATACATTCAAGAAATACTTAAGAAAGCAGACTTGACTTTAGGAGATGATGAAAGTTCTGTATATCTTTCGTTCCAGTTTCAAATAGCAGAACTTTTGAGACAGATATGTTTAATGTATGACAACATCTCTGATTTCACAAGATATGATGACGACCATGACCCCGAACATGGTGAAGAAGAAGTTTTACAAACATCCATTAAGACAGGAAAGGTTTTAACTCAAAGTCTCATTATTGACACCAAAGATGGCGAAGTGGACGTTCTTCAAGAGCTGAAGAAAAATACTTCTTCGGGAGGTGGTGGTAGGCATGAACTTGAAATAAATGAGATAGAAGAGAAATTAGCCGAAAAAGCAGATAAAGAACATAAACACAATATCTCCGATATAAATGAACTTCAAGCTACATTAAATAGTAAAGCGGACAAAAATGAACTTGACGCAATGAACAAAGTTTTGAAATCTCATAAACACAACATCTCCGATATAAATGAACTTCAAGCTACATTAAATAGTAAAGCGGACAAAACCATGTTCATTATATAACTTCAGACGAACAGATTATAACGGACTACCATGGATATTTAACACGAAGTGATGAAGCGAAGACAAAAAATGTTAATGAAAGAAGATATAAATACATTCGTGCTAAAGGTTATGACATAAGCTGTACTGTACAGTATGATGTAGCTAAAGCACCAGAAGCATTTGGTTATACCGGTGAAATTTATGCCTCTACTTTCAATGTTAACGGTGTATTAGTTGAACCAAGATTTATGTTAAGAGTTAAGGCAAAAATAACGTTTGAAGATGCTATTAAAAGTAAAGCTGACAAAGTTGAACTCGAAGCAACGAACAAAGTTTTGAAATCTCATAAACACAACATCTCCGATATAAATGAACTTCAAGCTACATTAGACAGTAAAGCTGACAAGAACCATACACATAAATCCTTCACTACTGTTAGAGCAGACGACATAATATTGAACTTTGACCTTGGTTCAAGTGCACCATTAGAAAATCCAAGTACAAGCGTAAAAGATACTCTTAACAGTTTAGATAAGAGTTGCAGGAACATTGAAAGTCATGCCAGAAACTTTGAAGCATATGAACTACCGCAATGTTAGATAAGAAAGCAGACAAAACTTATGTAGATGAAGAACTACAAAGAAATTTTCGAAACCAGATACAATGACATTTACAACAGAAATTATAAATGGTGAACCAGCAACTCCATTTGAATTTGTTAGAGGTCTTCAACCAGATACTTTTGAATTTTTCTTGGATAATTCTATTGAACTAACATTACATTATAAAAGTGGAACAAATGCAACATTTCATCCGGGAGATACATTCCAAATGGTATTTAATGACATAAGTTCTTTAGAATATGTTTATAGAGTTATGAGCATATATGATTTAATATATCCTATAGGAGCTGTTTATACGTCTATGAATCCAATAAATCCAAACACTTTATTTGGTGGTAGATGGTATGAAATAGTTGACAGTTTTCCATTCTACACTAATACTCAGTCAATGAAGATGGGAGGTTCAAAGAAAATAGGTATTGAAAACCTTCCTTCACATATGCATAGGTTCAGTGGAAGAACATCTGTGGAAGGAAACCATTCACATTCAATAACAAAAAGAGGTTATACAAATCTTGCAGCGGGTTCGGATAGACAGGGAATGCATAGATATGATATTTCAACTGACCCAGTAGATTCAAGCACAGGTATTTTCTGTGGAACTGCAGGAAATCATACACATGTTGTAGCTGGTATTACAGACCCAGCAGGTAATGGAAAAGATTATATGCCTCCTTATATAACAATGCACGCTTGGATACGAGTTGGTTAAAATCTTTAACTTTACATAAATGAGCTTGAAAGAAGTATTCGAACAACATCCATGGAGGTCATTTAAGAAATTCAATGAAGCTGCAAAGAGTTGGGGATTTACTAACAGAGCTGAAGTGAAAAGGTTCTTTGACAAAAATGTTGTACATCAAACAAAAATAAACCCTTACGACTACTTTTTACCAATTTACTCCAACACTCCTGACGCATACCAATTTGACACTCTCATTCAAAGCAGAAAAGGAGGACATAAACCATTCCTCATCTTCATAAATGTTAACACTCGTAAAGCATATGCATATCCAATGAAAAATAAAGGAACTCGTGAAGTGTTAAGAGTTTTACAAAAGTTTGTAGCAGAACATAACCCAAGTACTTTAACATCAGACCAAGACAGTGCATACCTCAGCAATGAAATCACAGATTTTCTCATTAAGCATAACATAACTCACTACACTACTGAAGACCATAACCATAACATACTCGGCATCATAAACCGCTTCATAAGAACGCTCAGAGATTTAAATCAAGAGCGAGACTTTACCGAAGAAACAATGAAACATTTTCTCGAAGTATATAATTCCTCAACACATTCTACAACAGGACATACACCAAATTCAATGACACAACAACAAGAAGAAAAGTATATACAAAAGAAACGAAGCCAAACACAAAATATCAGAAATTCAACACAATTTACCCTCATTCCTGGTACAAAAGTTCGTGTAGTTCTTGACGACAAACCGTTGACAAAGAAACGTTTAAGGTTAAGTAGAAACTATTATATCGTAGACTCTACACAAGGTAATGGATATCTTATAAAAGCTGCTGACGACTCCATAGCATTTTACCCTCGACATAAGTTAGTTGAAAGTAGTAATGGCAAACTTGCTGAAACCATTGACGAAGCAAAGCGAGGAGTGGTTATTGAAATACTTGGCTACAACAAACGATGACACTTATAAAGTAAGATATGAAGGAGGTGTTGAAGATGTTATACCATCTAAGAACTTGAGAGAGTCAAAGCCAACACATCTGGGACCATTAGAGCGGGAGTACTGGAAAGACAAAAATATGCCAGAAAGAATAAGAAAATTCTTCTAAACTTTTTCATTAGATGTAAATCAGACATGAATGAGAACAGTCATGATATCATTAATGGTACCATTTATTTACACCAAAAAATAATGTTTATGTTAGAATGTTAGATCTAACACGTTTTCTAACCACTTTTCTAACATGGTCTAAAACTCTCGAAAATCATGAATTTTTGACATTTCCTTATGAAAGAAAAATAACGCTAATTTTTTTCTAAGAAAAATTTTTATCTTGTATGTAAAGATATGATTTCAACAATCGGCACAACAACAATTCAAACTACAGCACCAAACTCGTTAGTCATGAATCCAACATCTATGTTAGTAGAGATGAAAAGCTTCACTTCTTCATATACTTTCGAAACAAAAATCCAGAAGATAAAGCAAGAACTTTTAACAAGTAATTTAGACTGTAGTGCGAAAGATGAAACAAATGAACAGTATCTTTATGAAATGCAGGACATTATTGACCATTTACCCAAATTGCCTGAAATCCAACAACAAAAACTAACTATTCCTGAATTCGACGAAATTGAAGTCAAAACAACTGACTCAGTAGAAATAAAGAAGTTCATACGTAAAGTAAATTATGAATTCCTTGGTTTTCATTGCAACCATAAAGTTATGGACAAAGATTGCGACATGGTTTATAAGAATGTTTCTGACATATATAAATCTGAAGAATTTAAGACCTACGATAACTTTGTTTCATTAGTTGCTGAATGTGTTTGGGAAATAAGAGATAAAGATAGAAGAGGCAAAGTATGGAACGAACAACTAAGACCCGCTATGTTTGAGATGAAGAGAGCAATTGACGCCTTAGTTGTTTTAGCAGGTCAAATTTCAATGTATAACGCAAAAATGAACCCGCAATGTTCAAAATGTAAGGCAGCGATGAGGAAATATAACTACTCCGTCAAAGAGATAGAAAGAATGAGAAACGACTATGCAGATTTAAAGAAAGAAGTAGAAAAGCCAGCAGAAGATAAAATGGATATGTTGACATTTCTGAACAAAAATTATCCAACTGCTGACGATTTCCTTCTATCTGACGTCAAGAAGAAATATAAAGAAACCTTCGGCATTGTTAAAACATTCGATGTACTAAAAGAAGAAATAGAAGCTACAAAACTGTTTAAAGTCATGAACCATCGCAACATATACCATGTAAAACGCTTGTAAATAGTTATGTTAGAAAAGAGGTTAGAAAACGTGTTAGATCTAACATGCTAACATAAACATTATTTTTGCTGAATTCAGCACAAAATTCTGAGTAAAATGACATATGGCACGTGTCAAACCGTTGAGTTTTCACAAATTTTAAAAATAACGTTAGTTTTATTTTTATTTATTTTTTATTTTGTATGTAAAGCCAGATGTACGCTGAACTTGTTGGTCAAGATGTATGGAAAGAATGTTTACAAGATGAAGAGTATGAAATTCACTGTTCTGAGCCTTTTGAAATAAGGAAGAAAGAAACCAAGAGAATTATACATGAATATAACAGAGGAACAGGTTATATTTGTGTAACATTAAACCTCAAAAAGTACCAAAAACATGTTCTCATAGCTACTCATTTTATTTCCAATCCGAACAATTTACCGTGTGTGGACCATATAAACCATCAAAGAGACGACAATAGACTTCAAAATTTACGTTGGGTTAGTCGCTCAGAAAATCATAAGAACAGAAGTAGTTATGGTAAATTATCTTGTGAATATTTCGATGAACTAGACGATGAAGCAATTGAAATAAACTCTTATGGAAAGCATGACTTAGAGTTCTACTATTATTCCGAAAAGGAAGATTCGTTCTATTATTATACAGGAGTTAACTATAGAAAAATGCATGTTTGTTTCCTAAAATCAGGAATTGCATATGTTACTTTGACGGATACTGAAGGAAAGAAAGTTCAAGTTCGTTTAAACGTTTCAAGAGGTTATATGATATTCAGTTTTGAACCCTGAATTTTTAACATTTCTTTAACACAAAAAATAAAGTTAGTTTTATTTTTATTTATTTTTTTATTTTGTATGTAAGGACAGATATGTCAACAACAGAGAACACAACAACTGCTATCGTTCATGAAGCCATAAATGAAAATACGAGTGGGTTCAGTTTAACAAACAACTCCGTCTCATTCGTTCGGTCAAAGACGATATGTACCAAATGCAAAGTATTTTGAATGCTCTTCGTTCTACAAAGCAAGCATATCATTGGTTTGAAAACCAACAGACAAAAGAACTTTTAGAAGAATTTCCTCATATGTTTGCTTCCCTCGGAAAACCGAGGGAAGAGATTCCATTCGAAAATCGCAAGAATTTGGCACCTGGTTTGAAAGGTTATTATGTTCATAGACTTTTAGTAAATGCTGTAGCAATGTGGGCTTCACCTCGTTATGCTTGTTATATTTTCATGATGTTAGATGAAATTCATAGACAAGAACGTGGAGAGATGGAAAAGAAACTTCAAGCAAAAGATGAAGTCATTGAATCCAAAGACAAAAGCATACAGAAAAGAATACCACGTTCGGTACCAAAAGGAAAGGAAAAGAGTTATAAGTATATGATATATACTGAAGAGTTGGAGAAAGAAAGAAGATAGAGATATGGTTATGTTGCATTTAGTCAGAAGAAACAACAAAAAGCTTTTATGACCTTGCTAAGATTTACAAATCTGACAGAAACTGGTTCTATCGTGAAAACTTACCGATTTCAATGACACGAATGAGCAAATAAAGGAAATTGTCAAAAATACTCTTCCTCAAACACACTATGACATCAAAGGTTGCACAATACTTACATTCAAAGAAGACTTAACATTACTGAAGGAAAAAATAACAGAATATTTCGATAACTTCAAAGAGGAAGAATAAAAATCTAAGCTAATTTTATTTTTTTATAAAATTTTATCTCATATGAAAGAACATGAATTTAGAATATTCGGAACTCATGACAGAAGAAGAGAACGAACAACATGTAAAAGATTATGCAAAATTTCTGAAGACATACAAAGCATTTAAACAATATCTAAATGCTTCTAAAGATTATGCAAAATTTCTGAAGGTATATAAAGCTTATGAAAAAGCGTATGAAAAGTTTATACATTGGGGAATTGTTGTAAAATATCGATATGAAGACTAACCAAAAATATATTTTTGCTTAAATGACGTCAGGGTCAATTTCTTCAACCATTTCACTTCCTTCGTCAATGTCAATAGAAGCTTCTCAACCTTTGTAAGAACTTTTGTATAACATCTTTGTTCGTTATTGTTTTCAGAGATGAAGAATAATATTTCACATTTGTTTCACCCTTCTTATATTCTTTCTGTTCGGAAAGATTCATAGCAATACTGAAGAAGTCAATGTTGGAGTTCTTTATAATAGTATAATGAGTATCTTTGACATTCACGAAGAAACCCTTTTGTTTCAAAACTACTGCTAACTCTTGTGAAGTATAACGTTTGCGGTCAATGACAATAGCTAATGGTCTGACATACTGACCAAACTTAGATTCTTTCACAAACTTCTTGTTAAAGATAACATTGACGTTTGAAGCATTATTGAACTCATTCTTGATGACAGTAGCGAGAGCATTGTATGAAAAGAACTTGCAATCTTGCATGTGTTTTCATTAAAATAAAAATATTAAATTATTTTGAAAATAACTTAAAAAAATCTAATCTAATTTTTTTCAAAAAATATTTTTTTATTTCCTACTAAAGATGTATCGGAAGTTGTCTAAGTTAGAACACTCGGAAATAAAACAACTTCTTACAGAAGCTAATATAGATGTTGCAAAGCATTACACAACAAACAAAAAGGCACTCGCTGACATCCTCATGACTATAATGGTGAAATAACTTATGATAGAATTCATGAGTTCATAAAGCCGCAACGCGGCGAGGACGAAGTCCATGCAAGAGCATTTCCTTTAAATGACGTTGCTATTGACTTATATCATAGACGTTCAATACCTCATGAAGTAAGAAGAGAAATGTTTGACATAACAAATGCAAACGTTGGTCATACTCGTAAAGCTCTTTCACATGACGTTCGTCAAGAGATGTTTGACATAACAAATGCAAACGTTGGTGAAACACGAAAGAGAGATGACACACTGAAACAACAGAGAAGAGAGATGTTTAAAAGTGCTATAGAACAAGTTCGCAAAGCTAATAATGTCATTCGTTCCATTGACGACAAACCAAAAGAAGGTGAGAGATGGTTAAAGAAAGATGAAGAAAATAGGAAGAGGAATGTGAAGTCAGGCAATAGACTCATTGACTTTAACATCGAAGCTTTAGATGAACCAAACAGAGACTACTTACACAAACATTTTGGTAAGGTTTTCATGAGACTCTTAAAGAAAATTAAAATAAACTCCCAACAGAGATGGATGGCATGTTATAAACTTGGTGGAAAGTATGAATGTTCTACGTTAAACCTCAATAATATTGGAACACTACTACATCAGCTCTTGAAGGAGAACTTTATATCAGAGATAGAAGCAAATGCTGCAGGTATTGTTGAAATGCACTATGACTTCTTCTTGACAAACATAAAGAATCTTACTGAAATAAAGATGTATGATTTAACAGAATATGAAGGCTTAACGATGTCAGATGTAAAAGAAAGGCAAACCAAAAAAGAGACCATATAGAGATGAAAGCACACTGACAAATGACCAGAAAGCCATTTTGGAAGCTCTTAAGCAAACAGGAAACCCAGCACTTATAGAAAGCTTTTGGAAAGATAATGGTGAAAAGAAGTTTTATAAGAAGAGAAGCGGTCAGTTCTGGAAGTATCTTTGCATATTACCTATAAATCTTGAACGCTACCAAATCTTCAATGAACTGAACAAAAGAACTGCAACACTTATGACAGAGGACAATTGTTTCGTTTATGCTTGTATTCAGGCTGGAGTAAATGAAGAAACTATTGACCACATGAGAGAAGTCATTCGTGTTAGAGACTTTCCTCAAAGTAAAGTACAAGAAATTTCTGACGCAACTGGTATAGCATTCAATGTTACCATTGGTTATTTCAATGACTCAAGACATAATGAAATAAAGAGATATATACCAAAAGAATGTGAAACTGTTCGAACTATTGACTTACTTCTTGTTGAAGACCACTACATGCTAAATGAAAGACTTCCAATGACAACATATTTCATTCGAAACTATAAAGAAATTCTCAAAGCTTGTGGTGGAATGAACATTGAGAAACAGATGAAAATATATACAAAGAGAGAAGATAAATATGTAGTTCGCATGGATAGAACTACACCGCTATGGGATGTTATGAAAACATTGTGGGAGTGCAAATATTTTGAACCTATTTCTTATGGAGAACTTTTCACATATACGACTGACTTATATAAACAGAACCTTGCACCATTTAAAGATTTGACATATGCTCCAAAGTATTGTGTACAACTGAAGAAGAAAGCAGAGTCAAAAGAAGTAAATAAAGCTAAATGTAAATTCATACCTGAGCACGTTTTCTTTGCTGACTTTGAGTGTAGTACGGATGGCTTTCATAAAGCTTTTAACATCTGTTATGACAGTGAAGATGGTTCAGTTAGTGAAAGTATTTGGGGTCAAAACTGTGCAACAGAATTTTTGGAAAGACTTCCTGACAAGAGTTTAATATATTTCCATAACCTCAGTTATGACATAAACTTCATCTTAAGACACATGACAGAAGTGAAAGGAACTCCCATCATTAAAGGTTCACGAACAATGCAAATAACTGGTTTATATAAAGGACGGGCAATTATTATAAAAGACTCTTACAGTGTTATAAATAAGAAGCTTAAACTATTTCCTGCTATGTTTAACTTACAAACAGGACCGAAAGAAGTATTTCCATATAACTACTACAGCAGTGTTTTGTTAGCAAATGACAACAGAACTGGTGTCATTTCTGAAGCATGTAAGTTTATCCATGATGCAGATACATTTATGAAAACATAGATTCCATCAAAGGTTGCAGAATAGATGAAAACCACTTCGACTTAGAAAAATATAGCACGTTTTACTGCAAACAAGATGTAAGAATTTTAAGAGAAGGTTTTGTAAAGTTCCGCAATGACTTATTGAAAGAGTTTGATTTAAACGTTTATGACTACGTTAGTATTTGTTCTATTGCTAACAAATTGTTTGAGAACAGAGTATA